TCTCTATTTAAATTTTTACAGCATTTCCCAAGTCTGAGAAATAATTAAAGCAATCTGGAAATCAATTCCATTCCCTATAATTGTCAGGGGTAGTAAATCTGTGTGAGTATAAAAATGATCATTGCTATAGGATGATATTTAGCATATAAATATCTTCATGAAATAATGAAGTAGAATCTTATYGCTAGAAGACTTGTCCAAGTTTGGGACTGGAGACATCCAAGTCTCTTTAGGATTTCTGTTTTACGGACCATCACAACTGCAGTAGATTCCCCCTCCATTTCATATCACTAAACCCTTCAAAACTGATTATTTCCAAGTTAATATCAAATAAGARTAAGTAAGTATATTTTTAGTATCAAATGGGTCATAACTGTTAATGTCTAGTTCAAGCAATATGACAATATGGAAGAAAATCTGGGTTTTTTCAGAAGCTCTGAAGCTGCAGGATTTCATTCCAGTTCTCAAGAAAAACTTGAGATCAACCTGTAAAAATATTACATTATCACAATATTATTTATAATAAAATTGTTGCTATTATTATTATTATTATTATTATTATTATTATTATTATTAGAGTATTATTAAACTCTTGTATGCATTTGTATGCTATTATTTCTTAAGCATTTATACCTTGAAAATTTTATTTCACAGTAACATACAAGACAATTACATAGAGACTTCTGAAGGTCCTGCTCTGGCATGGACTGTTCTGACGGCTCTGCCATCACCTAGGAAGGTAAAATCTCTTTCACCTTCCTATATCTGTTTGCAGGAACTTGTGCTTCTTGCCAAGCAACTGATGGTCACAAGCCATAAGAGTGGCCTTCACTGTAATCTGTTTTCTCCCCAGCCACAGAACRAGATCAGATCTATCAGTTCTTGCTGCACTTTCAGGCAAGGTGCCAGTAACTTTGCCATATGCCGCCAGCAGGGATCCTTAACAAAGACATGTCTTGGTGATTGCTTTTCCTTTTTAAAAGACAAAGGAAACTGTATATATGTCTAGATGAAGGGGAGCTCTAGCATAACTGAATGTCTTTCCTTTTGCAATAAATTGGATCTTAAATCAGCTCAACTTCTTAAAATACAATTTTTCAAGAAAAAAAACTACACAATTTGGCAAAACCAGATTAAAAACAGATTAGATGCTATAAAGTCTGTTATAATAAAAGACAGCTTCTGYGTCTTTGCTAAACATTGTGCTAATCAGTGATATAATGAATATTAGAAAAAGCAGCAAATTGATTCCTAAATGTCACAATTACATTTTAACAGAGGACATTAAAAGCAGTTATTTCCTTTCTTGATTGCTTAGAGGTTTTATTATTTCATTATAATTTATCATACAAAWACAAACCAGGCCAGCTCAGCTTCTTTTGTTTATAGATAATAAATAAATGGAATTTAAAAGGAAGCTATAGAAACCCCTTCAGTAGAATTTATTTTATAGCAATTCACAAAGGTTTTTGTCAGAACAACTGAAGCATTTTTTGTCCTCAGCAAGACCAAAACAAGATTGTATTCGAAAAGCTTTATGTGAGAAGGTCCATTGGCGCTCACATTCAAAGTAATTATTCTTGTAAAATTAATTAACTTTTTTTTTTAATCTAAGCCCTTAGAATACTTCCCATTAGTAACAGCAGGTCTGTGCTTTTTATGTTCATTGTGGCAGATGTTCTTTACATCCCAGATTTCCTCAGAACAACAGAATGGTTTGATGGATGAAAGACTACATCTGGAAAAAGTGTATCAGTCAGCATCATTAAAAGCCTGAGCTAGGGCCCACTGAAATCAGTGGGAGTCACTGGCTTATGTTCACATTTTTTATATCTTGTTAAGAAGGAGTAAGTCTTAATTATTAAAAAAGAATGGAATTATATTCTTTACTTGCATTGCACATAATTTATTTCTCCAACAGTGAAGAAGAGACAGGTTGTATTGGCAGAAGAATCTGTCATGGCACTTAAGGATAGCTGGGCTTGGGATCCCATGAGACTTTCAGGTTTACACAGTGAGTGCCAGCTGGCAAACACCCTGGGGAGTCTGCAAAGGCTCCTAAAACGTGCTGGGAAGGTGTAGCTGGCTATGGCGTACCACTACTACTGACAAAAGGGAAGAACGTTTAAGCAAACAAGAAAGCTGAAGGCTGAGGTTTCTATGACAGCATTTTGGCTAGGCCAGGGTTARTTTTTGCAGTAGCCAGGAGGAGGTATGGCTAGGACCTGAAGGTCATTCTCTACCACCTCACWTCATTTTCTGGGGACTGGGGAAGGGTCTCACTTAGAGGTTAGGAGAGTATTGTGTGGTCTGGTTGGGCTCCGTGGTGAATGTTTTGCATGTGAATCRTTCACCTCTCTCCTGTACATCTTTGTTATTAATATTGTTGCTSATGCTGCTCAACTTCTTATTTCATTGTAGTTTCCAGGAAATTGTTATTATCTCAACCTGTGATCTTTTCTTTTTGTGCCTCCAATTCTCCTCTCCAAGGTTAGTCCAAGGAATTAAATTCTCATGGATAACTGGACAACACTATGCTGGTATTGCAGTGTTTATCACCTATGGAAATGGAAGAGAAAATAGAAAAGGAAACTGAAAACACTTTTCAGCAAGGTCAGGGAGACAACTGTGAACAGGAAGGAATCCTTCAAATTGGATTTAAAACAAGAAAATAAAAAGTATCATAAGTTTTAATAAATGTCAAAATATATCAGTTAKGGAGGAAGGAAAATTAACTTGAGAATCAACAAGATAAAAGCATCAAGATTAGTAATAAGATGTATTTCAAACAGATAAAAACCATGCCAGCCTTCATTGGCACAGCAGATGGTTTGTATGAAACACACTCAAAGAGAGAGTGTTTCTCCATCAGTATTTTTCTCCATCAGTTAATTTTCTCCATCAGTATTTTCTGTGGAAAAGAAATAAAGATACTCTCATGTCAAAGTGCTGTTCACTGGGAGGAGAGGGCTCAGTGGACAATCTGTCTGAATTTGAAGTTATTGTGGAAGCAGCTACAGTTAAAATATTTTTTTTTTTAAAAAAAGATAAAATGCTTTGATAAAATACATAGAAACTAGCACTATCACAAAATGTCTGAAAGAGCTCAGGTATGAAATGGTTCAGCTACTAATGGTGTAAATTCTTACTTGACTGGACAGTAAATAAAATAGCAAATGAAATTCAATAGAGATAAAGGCAAAGGAAGWGAAATGCAGTATAGATAAATGTAAATAAATCTATGCTGCTGAACACAAGAAATCCTAGCTTTGCATGTAAAATGATGGACTCTGGGTCGACTGCTTTGACTTAGGAACAAGACGTTGGGATTATGACAGTTTTACGGAAGCATTGTTTCCRTGCAGTCAATGTTCACTTCATGCCCCAAGAAAACAAGAATCTTAAAAACAACATGAGAAAACAAAAAATAGAGAACAAAAGAGAAGACATTATTCAACTAAATAAATGCACTATTTGCTGTGTTTCAGTGCTGTCCTCTCACTATAGAAAGGCTGTCTATAAAGATGGTAAAAATTCATTAAAGGTAAAAAGGGGCATTGATGACATTGCAGTTTATCTCAGGCACACTATCAGAACTGACTGTGTCAGCTGGGATTCTTCAGCCTGGGAAAGAGATGAACATGAGCCAGTTTCAAAGCAAACAAAACAATGYTTGCATACACAAGGCAGTAGATCTGTGGAATTCTGTGTAATAATTAAGTAGGTATTAAAGAACTCTACATGGGTTACAAGGGAGAATGGACAAGTTCTTAGAAGAAAGACCCATTACAGTCTACTAAATGGACAAACCATAACAGGATCAAGAAACTCACAACATTGAAAATAACTGGAAGTTGGGAAATCAGTGTATAATATCATATATACTTACTCTGTTCCTGCTTTTCTCTGGCTGCCCACTGAAGCTAGATTTACCTTAATATGAGCAAGTAAAACACCTCTAGAATCTAAAATTTTCACAAGATGTTGTTATTATTATTTAGTATTCTTATTCTTTATACAACATGTATTTTTGRAACAAAAAGAACATGGCTTACTGGATGAATTTGTTGTCTGAAAGTCACGTTACTTAATAATATTAATATTCCTCTTGTAGCTTTTATGTCTGGGAGCTTTAATCATGATTCAAAATTCTGCCATGTCTGATATAAATAATAGGCAGAAGAACAATACAAAAATGGGAATATTAGGTCTGCCCCAAATGGTTTGGTAATACACACATTGAACAAGAAACAGAAACGGAGACAGCTATAGCAACATGCTATACTTGTATAGCAGCTATACAAATAAACTATGAGACAAAATATTCCTTTGATTGTACAAAATTTTTAGGCAGTATGGTGGTATTTGAGAAGGAAATATTTGACAAGAAAAATGAACCCAGTTGGCAGGTATTTACATGTATTACATTTTAAGTATTTAAGGATGCCTGGAAAAAAGGCCACAAATTTGTCTGAAAATTCAGCAGCAAACTAGAGGCCAACACATTGTGTTAAACAAATTTGTATGGTGAATTTCATCTGCTGTAAAGAAATGACAGGTGAAAGGAAGAGTAACCTCTGAAATGTACTGAAATCAAACTAAAGAAATTCATGGCTGATGCAGCAGAAGCAAATTCACTGGAAGGATAAAAATGGAAAAGGAACATAGTAGAAGCTAAGRAGAATCATTACAATAGATATGGTAACAGCAGAGCTGCCTTTTTGAAAACCAGAGAAAGAGAAGATTGGTGGAAATGACAAGGAAGATGAGCCTAGACAAGAATTTTAGCTGAATGGGCAGATAGGAAAGCTGCATGTGAGGTACACTTTACAATGAATGTTTCAGACATAATTTCAGTGGCAGAATCTGCAGTGAGGTTTGAGTTGAGGATGATGTCCCTCAGTATGGGTGTGAATGACAGGGTTGGTGTCATAGTGGCTAAGTAGGTAGGCATACACAGCCAGGTTAATAGTGGGAATATATATACAAATATATTTATATAGTTCAGAAAGCTCTTCTACTGAAAATACATTCCATTGGTTTTTACTGTTGTTTTTCGCTTTTCCTGGACTCTTACAACATGTGTACAATGTAATCAACCCCTCCCCTCCCATAATGAATTGACTGAGGCTGAGCGTGACCTTAGGAATGACAGAAATCTCTCAATATCTGATGGGAACCTTCCCTGGCAGCATTTGACTGCAGCAGACCTTGTAGCAGTCTGTACTTTATTTCAAAGTGTTACTGTTCAGAGATTGTTCATACTGAATTTTCTCCCTTTGTAATTTAAAACAGCAAGGACATCTGATTCAGTCTTTTTCTCTTTATATTTTACCATATAACACTAGACAAAAAGAGCAGAGATCACTGAAAGAGTTTGCTGTAATGGCACAGTTAAAGAGTAAAAGCTGCAAGATTTCTCTTTGGAAAGATATTTCAAGAGGTCAGTCTCCATACTAAGGATGGTGATGTTTTGATAGACAAAAGAAGTCTGCCGTTTGGATTCAGACAGGTAGGTCATGGCTTTAACTGTCTGCACACTGACAGGAAAAAATAGACACAAGATTTCATACTATTATTCTCCATTTACAGCTGAAGGATAAGTTAAAAACATACTTACTCTTGAGTTTATTCCCTACTTGAAGAAAAATTTATACTTCTTCCTTTGAAAACTCACCAATTCATTAAACTAAGAATGACATTTTTAACGTAATTTATTTGAATGCGACTTTACTCTCTGCTGACTTGCTATTGTCTAAGTCTTTCTAAAATGCTCTTTACAGAGCCCCAACAAGATTCTTTTTTTTCTTAGGGCAAAAGTACAGACAGAAGATGTTGTTTTCTCTTTCTTCAGCAGCAGAAGAAATGGAGATTCAGACACCTACTCTTGCAACAGGCTGTGCACTGAAGGCTCAGCCTGAAGACAACCACTGGAATGCTGAGATAATTCAAAGACCTGATGTGCTTGACATGACCTGAGAAGCTGAAATATTTGTAGGCATTTTTTTAGGTATTATGTTAGTGATGGAGCTGCCATGACATTTTCGTACTAGATACACTATTTAAGTCAGCTCTATATGATTTTCCTCCAAAAATGACCTTTTAAGATAATTTTTTGTATGTGCATGGAGGATAGTACCTAAAGTGCTAAACTGACAACATTTAGAATCTATTTAATGGTTATAGCAATGTCAGTACAGCACCCAGTTTCCAGCAGTGTGCCAGTAATACCTTCTTCTACCAAAAAGGCAACTGAACATTTCAACATCCTTGGTTTTCTGCTGAGATTGGCAAAGGCCTTGCAGAAATAAGAGAATCAGATATTCTAAAGGTTTCTTTCATTTGGAGCATGAATCCCTTCTTTTCCCAGTCCTTGAAATAATATGACTCTACTAAAAGAGGTTAAGCATCTACTAAGGGGGAATTACCTTTTAATAGGTGTTTTAGTAGCCAGAAACTTCCAAAGAATTATCAAAAGATAAATTGGTAGTTGTACTTAATTTCTGTGTTGTATATTTTATTTAYTTCTAATTACTACATTTGGAAGATTTATTGGTAAGCCCTATTTCTGTAGTGCTCCGAAGCTTAGACAAACAGTGAATAAATTTTAGGCACTTCACAGTTCTTTTCATTTTATTGATGTGGGTTTTTTTCTGTTGAGAAATGAGTGCAAAGTATGCAAGCTGAGTACAGAAGACAATAAAGAGTCTGTGCATGTTATTTTCAGAAATGAAAGTGTGAATATTCCTTTGAAGAGGGAAAAAAGGAGAGGGGAAAAAAGGTTTGGGGCAAGAAAGAGTAAGAGAGAAKAGGTGAGAGGGCTTGAGTCATGGGACAGAGTATAAAAGAAAAGGAGGAAGGAGCAGTTGAGGAATGTGAGGTACTAATGAGGAACAGGGGYAGGCAGCCATTCATTAACTTCTGTTTGATCACCTGTTCCTGCCAGAACTATGTAGGTAGAGACTGGAACAACCCCAGCATTGCAGACTGCCCCAGAGGGCTGAACTGAAAGCCAGACAGTCCATACATCTGCTCTGACATTCTTATTTAAAGGATTCATAAACCCCATCTCTACAGGGTGTTCCTCTCCCCTCGTCTGTGCTGAAAGCTCTTTTTTGAAGCTGTCTGCGCCCCTCAGCCTGATCTTCTATTTGGGCCAAATCTGGGGACAGCTCTTTTTATTGTTCCTTCCTGTTACATGTGATTCGTAACTGTCCTGTCCTGCCAATCACTGTGTATGGGACAAGGCCAGGGACTTGTCCACTGACAGGAA